AAAACCCAAGATCATCTCGTGTTACCTTAAACTATCAAGATATTATTATAATACTCTAACGTGTATACGAACTCACCTACAGCCCAAGTATACATGCTCTGTGACGCTGCTGTGTCCAGCTGACTGAGAGCCAGCAAACTGACCAGGATGAAGAAGTGGACAGCGTGACGAAAGGGTCCAGTAATCCCGATACTTCCATATTCCATCGTCTGGGCTGGGCGCCGTACGGCATTTAAATCCACAAACGAAATAGAAAGGTAATCCGTACGAAGGTAAGCGAACACTCCAACGCCGAATTGATTTCCTTTTTAAACAAAAAGTGACAATATAACCTCTTGAATTTCACTCCCAAACGGTTCAAGAAGCTTTAAAGGTTATAAAGCTGGACAGATGCACTCGTTATGTTATCCGCATGAGCTTGTTATCTGCCAAGTTGAGCAAGGATGGGATTCTCTTGTGTTAAAAAATCTACAGTCATGTCGAAAACATAGAATCCTGTCCATGAAAGTGAAATATTCGTTGAAGTAACACTCGCTATACCCTTTGAACTCACAATTATATGTTATTACTATTATTACTTCTCTCTCACGCCAGTTTATTCAGGATTTTTTCTATTACGCAATGTTTTACATAACAATGCAGAAACCCCAAACACAAAAATTGGCTTTCCCCTTTCCGTCCGCTCATAAAAAGCAATTTGCAAACAAGGAAACCAGGAAAATCAACAACAAAAAAGGATGGTTTCAACAAGCAACAACAAGCTTAGAATTCAACTCTAGAAAATGCCACTCAGTGGCAAAAAAACAAGTTCACAAACACAATAGAAAGTTCTGTTTTAGAACAAAAAGACGTCCCAAAAACAGCAGAGTTGTGCAAATGTTTCGTATTGTGTTAAATATTATAATCAATGAGACATACAGATTCCGTATAACTACAACTACAGGCGAAAGTATCATCCGCTGTTTAGCCCATTTCACAGACGAGAGAAGTGACGTCACTGATATAATGGGTTCAGAAAAGAGCTGTCTTTTGTCCTAGTAGGCTGCTGCAAGCACTTTGTTCCTGAAAAAGACCAACAACAAAAAAAAAGCTCAATGTCCAAAAACAAGCATCCTCCATGAGTTGGGAAATGGGGCGGGGGGGTTGAAAGAGAAGGCAATGGCAAAATTGTTGCGAAAGATTCTCTCAGCTGCAGTGCTATTTTTAAAACATTGCCATGTTCTTTTTAAGGTCATGTAGTTGTTTTGATTGTAACCCTTTAAAACAATTTCTTTCTGTGGTTTGGAGCTTAAGTTAAAAAGGAACACACAGTCACAGTAACGTTCTCGTGGTGTGCCAAAAAAAAGTACGACCCCATGTCTACTGCAAATTTCCTTTGAAAAAAAACCTAGGATCTTTCTTCGGCATTGTAATTTTTGTCTATGTCCTATGTCCCGTTAACGATAATCAACACACCAATGGTGGCTTATTATTGCATGATTTGCGGAAAGCAATCCCTTTTACAAGTTAAAGCAAGAGACAACTTGCCAGTGCATTGCTCGTACCAGAAGGAATGAGGAAGTAAAACAAATTCTTCTGCCATATTATAGAAGGAGGTCTGTGCTTTTGCTGGTGAAACAATATTATATTCAGAGCGTATTCATGAGCTTATACACTGTGTAACATACGTAGAGGATTTATACAGTATTATGGTTGTTCGTTTCATTTCCCTTCGTTTTTTCCTTAATCATTAGTTCAAAATAAACAAACAAGCAAACAAACAAACATGCAAAAGCATATTGATATTAGCGCATTTATGTTTTAACCTGTTTTTAAACTCTTCCATGGTGTTATTTTGTACAATTCAGGTAGCCAATGAGAAAACAAATTGATGCAAATAAAACGAAAACAATTTACATACCTGTGATAATCATAGTCAAGGCACTTGAGGTCAGTCGATGAACAGTTTTGTTGACCACTTAGATGACCACCAGGACAAGCAGCGTAGCGAAACTGTCCGGGGGAGTCCCAACTGGAGATAGAAAGAAGAGATGCAAAGCGCATTAGGGATGTTTAGTTTTAGTGTAAGATTTAGTTATAGTTTCACAGCACTTGTGGTATAATTAGGTCAAACAAGTGCTGAAGATTAGAGGCGTTACCAGCGCGTTGCATGCAAAGAAAAGAAAGAGGAGAGATAATGACGATGGATGTTTGACATGAAAGAAGGAGCAAATCCCACCACAGCGCCCGCCAACCACCCACGGTTGGTAGGGAGGTTCTCCATTTTGATGACGAGCCAAATCAATGTAATCTGCATCTGCTGAGATATTCGAGTTAAATCTTACATGTTGCATGCAAGAGTTTTAGTTAGAGTTTTAAGGCTTTTGCAACTCAAAAGGTCAAATAAGTACTGAAGATTAGAGGTGTTACGAGAGAGTAACAAATAAGAAAAGAAGGAGAGATTATAAAGAAATTGGATAGAAGGAGTAAAAAAGACCAGAGCACCCACCAACCACCCACGTGCAAGTGTTCAATTCCTTTGTCGGACTGTAGATGTTTCGGATATATATCTCGTGTGTCTGTTGAAGTATTGTGAAGATCAGATGGTTAGTGATTTAAAGTCACAAACAACGTCAATCAATGTCAGTGACGAAGCGTTTATAAGGGCGAAGTGTAGGATGTGTCCTTTGGAATGACACGCCAGTCTTGGCTTACAAAAATTACGTAACACATTGTCTGTTGGTGTGTTATGTTATTTTGTTTGAAACGTTTTGTTCAAAACCCCATAACGTTTAGTGGTTTAAATTATTGCATTTAACAATATCAGTCACAATTTCGGTTGTTAAATTGTAATGGTGGTATTTCATTTAACCTTTACAGCTTCGACTAGAATATCTGTAGACGAAATAAACGCCATTCCCAGGGTAATGAAATTTGAGACAATACAAATAATAATACCAACATCGTTCCTTAGTCCAAAAAATATTATTATTCAGTACACTGGACGTCATTCTGGTGTAAGTGGGCTTATGCGTCTTGACATTTGAGTATGATTCATAATTTTTATCGTATTCTCAAGCGCGTATTATTCAAAAGATTCATTCATCAACAACAACAAAAACGATCAAAGCTATATCCCAAAACTTACTCTGAATTACTCAAGAAGAAAGATAAGCACGTTTGCAGGGGAAGATTTTTTGCTTCAGCGTGTTGCATTTACCACTAATGTACTCTTGCCACAGCTTTTTCCCAATCCATAAAAGGAAACATTTGTGAGTTCCCCGAGCTAAGAGGTCATTGGGAGCAGCTTAGAGGGGGTATTACTTGCTTCAATGCATCTCTAACTCGTGACAAGCGGTTTCTTTTGAACCATACCCATTCTATGCACAGATATTGATTAGAGGGAAATAGAGAGAGAGAGAGAGAGAGAGAGAGAGAGAGAGAGAGAGAGAGAGAGAGAGAGAGAGAGCTTTAGGCGCAGCGAGGATGAGGGGGTTAGGAGGTTGAAGAAGTGAGGGAAAGCTTGGGAGATGAGGGTAGAATTTTTAATGATCTTGAATATGGGTGAGTAATATTATAGTAAATGTACAAAGTTCTCGAAATGATACGCCCATATCATATCGACACGATTTAGATCATTTTGGAGGCGGGGTCCGACCCTGCCTGTCAAGGCCAAGTAGGGCTGAGAGTAATACAACTTCCCAGCAGAAAGACGGAAGTATACTCGACAAAAGATCTCCCCACAAGGAGGGCCCTAACCACTACACCACAGACCCCGGTAGCGTGGCTTGGGTCTAACCATTTTTGTCAGTTTAAGATTGATAAAGGCGGCTCTTTAGAAATAACGTTTGTGTCTCCTACAAAAGGAGCCATGCAGGTTAGAGGCTTGATATGGTCCCCAAAACATGGATGGACAAGAGCAAAATCTGGACTGGCCTTGGAAAAAACAGAATGTGCATCGGCAGCTCTCGACCATGATGGATGGAGGGTCATTCCACGTCAACCCCTGAGTCAGAGATGACGCCTCCAGATATCCAGGTACAGTTCCCAAAGCAATCTTAGTTTAGGAAAATCCTATTGGAGATTTGAATCTGGGTCATACGTATGGTGATAGCCCAAGATGATGTTAACTGAGATACCTTAATGCTCCTTAACAGAGGAAAAATTTAATTTCACTAAGAGGCTTCTTTAAACTCCCTGCTTCATAAACCTCTCCATTCCAAGGTCGGAAATCTTGAGAAGTTGGGTCGCACTAATAGGAAGAGCTGACAGAAAGGAAAAGCTTCTGCAGTTTCCACGCTCAATTCATCTCAATTCGTCTAAGTAAGACATTTCAAGTCCAGAAGATTAAAGAACTGGGTTGCCGCTGTGCGAGGTATCGATAATAAAATGCTTCGTGAAAGATCCGAGTACGGTGGCATGCTAACCGAAATCTGACAAGGGTTGCCGCCAAGGTCAAGAATCGATACTCCCAGGGACGGAGGGTGATAACCTTTTCGCATACATCCCTGACGGCCTTCATTTTGCGAGTGAGATTTTTCTCGGCGTTAATATCTTTTCTTTACCGTAATGCCTATCTGGAGTGGAGATCTCGAGATTTGAGTGCTGTTACATTCTACAATTTGGTGACGTTCTCATTTCCCACTTTTGTTGCTGTAACAGGGCTCTGGAGATTGCCAGAACGATTTTTTAAAGTGTTTTTTTTTTTTTTCGTTGTTTTTTGGTGTGTTTTCAGGGCACTTACTCAAAATTTGCTTTTCAACATTTAGGTGCCTGCCGTTTTCGTAATCAGAATTAATTGCTATGTTATACTGGCATTTTGTATAGTACAATACTCTCTAAGTATAGTATTAGTGGGATGTTGAGATCATTTTGGTAAATGGTATTCATCCTCTCCCTATGAAGCCCTGGGGGCAAACATTCAGCAGTTTCAATGAAAAAATAAGCAAATCCCCCCCCCCCCACACACACACACACACTCCAAAAAAGCAACAAAAACCAAAAACAAGGACAATAACAACAACAAACATGAACAAAGGATTTACATTTACTGACCGGGTTGTATCCAGTTCAAGATGAAGCCATTAAATAAAGCCTTTAGAAACTATACCGCCAATTGCTAGACAGTCAAGCGATAAAACTCATGTTTACTTAATTAAGTTTTATGTTTGTTTGTTTTTCTCTTTGTGGAATTGCGTCTGAAGTTTACATGGTGTCGTTTCGGTCAAGACAGTAAATGCAAAAAGGGACAGTGTCTAGAAATGGATTGTTGTCCTGAATTGAGAGTGGAACAAGTTTTTTTTCTTGTTTTTTCTTGTTTTTTTCGGGGGGGGGGTTACATTTGACATGCCCTGTTTCAAGATGTGTACGTAGAGTATACAATAGTTTAAAGGGCCTTTTTTATTAGTCTCTCCCGAGTATTTTATTTATGGTGATTTACTTAGGGACAACTAAATAAGTCGCTACTCCTCACCTAGAAATATAGAAACAAGTAACGTCTGTCGAGCAACTTATGGGCTACAAAACTAATTATTATTGTTGTTATTATTATTATTATTAT